TCTATCTGAATAGATACACATCCTTACCTCCTCAGTTGGACAAAATGGGTGTTGAATAATCACTTTTATCACCTCTCTGAAACATTAAAGTTGTCTCCCCTCGTGACAAAGAATACCAAACCATCCGCTGAGAAAGCAGGCTGTGTGGATAGCCTTGCTGAATTCCTAATTGTTTGCTCTGACAGTGAAGAAGCTGTTTGTCTTTGGAAAGCTATGCATGTTGTTTTGGGTTTGAACATCATGTGTCTTTAATTTTCAGCACTAGCCACAGGGATAAGTATCACAAATAACTGCTTGAAGACCTCTTTGCCCTTGGGAATCCAGTATATACTTGGAAGCCTCTCTGAGATTGGAGCTAAAGGGAGAATCAAAGTTGACTCATTGCCTTATAACCCTTCAGGGAGAAGAAAGAATAAAAGAGCAATTGCTGCTTTCTTTAGTTGCCTGAAGCAAGTCTTTTCTGTTTTGCAGAAAATAAACCAATGCCATTTTCTAAAATTATCTACCCTCTATATGAAGAAAATATTCCATCCAGTGTCATACAGCTAATTCTGGGGCTTGACAGACTCCCTGGACTTCTGTGTGTCCCAGTGCAGTCCTGGGGAGGGTTCAGGAAACTATAACACTGAGTTAAACATAACCAGAAATGGTCATTCCCATCTTCCACTCAACTTCCTTCTCCTGCCACATTCTTCAGCTCTGTTTCTGGAGCTCTGTGTACACTCTCTAGGGCACATCTGTGAAGTGTGCCTTATTTTCTGTGCTCAATCTGTTAACATATTCTGATGTATTTTGTGATTAGTGTCAACATAAATGAGGGTCACCCTATGACTTTCAGTGAAGGTATGTTTGTTACCCTGTTGTGGTATACCTTCCCAAATATCCACAACTTTGTATACAATGCTGGAGTGAAACAGTCATTAGGGTGTTAGTAACATCATAATACATAGGGGAAGCCTGAGCCCCAGTGTATGCATTAGCTGAAGATTAAGCAGGATGCCAGATGAGCTTTGATTCATTTTAGAAATGTTGCTAGGCAGAGCTCCAAGCTCACACCAAGAGATGCCAAGATATTTGCTCATGTCTCCATCGTCCCTTATCTCAAGTGGTGCAACTGCCAGAAATAATTTTGCTTAATAGAAAAACCTCACACATTTTGCACATTGCTCTTTTCTACATAAATATTATTACTGTATTATTTCAATTTGAAAAGAGAATTCAACTCAATATTAGATCTGTGGAGTATCTTTCTTTAAAACAACATTTATATTTTTTCTAGGAAACCTATTCCTATTCTTTTATAATCAGCTCATATCAGCACAGGAATCTTACATAAGAAGGCAGCAATTATCAGCAGAGAAAGTACAGCATTTTCTTTTTATTTCTCAGATTTCAGATTTGCTGTTAGTCCTGAAGTATAGTGCTTTGCTAGGGAGTATATTTTTGAATTGTTGAAGGACTTGTTATACTATACAAATACAAAAATGAACTTTAGCTGGGGAAGAAGTTCTAAAAGATTAATTAATGCATTGGTTTAGCATGATTCTGATCTTACAGTGTCTTGTAAAAACAGTGATGCACAGACCATTGGAATGAGCTGTTTTATAGATGAAAATAACAGGACTCAAAAGGGTTGTTCCTGGTTTGAAAAATGTTTTATTTAAAATGTGTGTATACATACATAATGTATAATTATATTTGTGCATCTATATTTAATCACTGTCTAGCAGACAACATGGTATTGATCTGTAAGTAATCTATGCCCCTTTTACAACTGCAGGTGTGTATGCCTGCACCTAATTGTACAGTTAGCACTGTAGATCCACACCGTTTTCTTTGTGATGAGTTATTCAGGTGATAAATGCTTTAGGTTTCATTAGTGTATAATTCCATTAGTACCTTTCATGTCTTCAATCAGTAATTTATGCAATGACTAAGACTCCTAAGTGTTACTTTGTAGAGAAGAGCCAGTGAAAGGTGTGACACAATGAAAAATCCATTTGTTTCCTTCCTTGCTCCTTCTTTTAGCCCTGTTTCACAATGAGGCATAGGAAACATCTTGCATGGCATTTTGCAGACATAGGAAGGCACTCTGTACTTGGGCAAGGGCTGAAACAGAAAACAAAACAAGTGTGATACTAAGAGAAAAGCATCGCACATTAGAGAAGAATTTAAGAGGATCTATAAAAAGTTTAAATTGGTAAAATATGTACGTGGTTGGGTTAGAAAGAGAATAAAGTACAATTCAGCCACAGAAGCCTCAGCAGGGCTCTGAACATTGTTTAGAGTGCATTGCAGTTTGCTTTAAAGTGTCAATACCCACATCCTTAGAAAGGGGAATTTTTGTAGTTTAGCATTAATTTTAACAAATGCATTAAGACTGCCCTTTCTTGGATTTTGCATCATTCTCCTGTAGTTTGGTGAGTGTGTTGCAGGATGTATGAAGGCAAAAATCCCACCTTCTGCAACATAGTCGCAGAACTGAGCTGTGCATCTTAGGCAGAGCTGAAAGCCAAGGGGTGCTTTGCCATTCTTAACTAGAAAGGGCACTGGGATGCATCTCTTTCCCAAACACAGCTGGCAGCCAGCCCCCTAACTCCCTGCCATGGTGGGGATAGCCCTCTGAGGGAGCAGAAAGAGTGCCAATCACAGAAACATACCCTTGCAGCTACTGGAACAGCATTTAGGTCCAATGCCCCCATGCTGTGAGTGACCCAGACACTGCCCTCTTCTCCCTTCTCCCACCCCTGCTTGCCCTTCTCTGTCCCTGCCGCTTCCTGCAAGTGACCCTGAGTCACAACCACTGTGAATGACCTCCTTTAGAAAACCCTGAGGCTGGCTGAAGAAAGTACAGCTGTGAGTTTCACACATCTCTGCAAAGCAACATGTTTTTGCAGTCACCTCAGCAGATCAGATCTCCTGAGTGCACTCAGTGCAATACAGGAGAGATACCTGGAGCCATACAGGAGTTTTGGTCCCAGCTTAAATAGGTAGCCTTTTGAAAAACTCTCCTTCTAGTGGTCCTTCTCATGGTCCCCAGAGTGCAAGGCTGCTAGGAATTAGTCCTGCCTCTTGTCCAGGCAGATTTCCTACCCAAAACATCCTTGAATGTTCTGAACACTCAGGTGGCTCCATCATAAAAGGGGACTCCTTCACTGGCAGATCAGTGTAATGCTGCAGCTGGGAAAGTCACATACGGCAGCTATAATGGTGAAATTATGAAGAGTAATGAGGAATTGATCCGTTATCTATCTCGTAAATACATGTTCTAATGTAGAGAAAAAGCACAGTGTTGACTGAAAATATTGCAATCCTTGGGGGAGGGGGGGAGAGGAGAAGATGTTAGACAGAAGTATCATGCCTTTACGTATGGTTCACCTAAAAAAAAAAAAAAAAAAATCTGACCATTAAGATGGCTGCCAGCCAACATTTTGGCAATGTTTCCTTTGCGTTTCTGCTCACACAAAGTGATTTATATCCAAGTACTCTCTGGCTGGTTCTCACATTACAATAATGATTTTTATTGTTTGTTTATAGCTTTATCTGAACATTTCTGCTTGCCATATCATATATCCTGAACTTATATAGTGTCATTTACAGGCACCTGCTATGCTGGTGTAGAGTCCATTGTTTCTTCTATCCTGTCTGGGACTATTTGCATGTATTATATGTAAGTTTTCGGAGTTGAAGGGGACAACGAGGACCCTATTCTCACCTTGCTGACCAAGAAAATAACAGTTTTCAGAGAAATTACTCTGACATGTGTGTAGGGAAGCCAGGATATGTAGACCCAGTGGCAGTTTTTGCCATGGGGAGAATTAATATACTTTCCCAGGAAAGAGGTGAGACTATAGTTGTGTCACCAGCCCAAAGGACATGAGGCAATCTGTCTGCAAGGGAAGCACAGTTGGGCCCAGATGTGATGAACGAGGTCATCTGCATGGCACTGTGCATAAGGAACATGCTCCAGGACTTCAGGATTTGCTACACCATGTTGCAGGGGAGGTTCAGTTCAGATATTTGAGCTGAAAAGTTTGTCTACACAACAGGCAACTTGTTTTGCAGTTTAGCATGTTAATGCTAAATGTTTTGCATGTTAATCGTACTTGCTTTTGGTAGTTTGGCATGGAGTACAGAGGAAAGGGAAACTGTAGGTTTTCCCTAGCATCAAATTCAGGAACATAATGCAGTTTATATCAGTATCAATATGACAAGTTAGGCTGTCTTATTCAGTGAAACAATACTGTCCTTTGTATAAATAATAAATTTAAACAGATATTTCAATGTTTTTCCCCTGTGAGAAGCTGAAAATGTCCATCATCATTATGATAAAACAAAACATTGATGTTTAGAGATTGTATGTTGCCTTGCTTTTCACCTTGTGGGAATGATACAAGACATTTAAAAGAAAAGAAGAAACTTCATTGTGAAAAAAACAAACAAACAAACAAAAAACAAAAAAACCTCTATATCACACAAGGTGTTTTTTTTTGTTTTTTGTTTGTGTGTGTTTTTTTTTTTTTTTCCTGGAAAGTACCGTTACTTTAAGGTATTATTATTTTCAAAATATATCAGAGAAATCAGAACTAAAAAAGACTGTATTTTCTTATCTAGCCAGGACTCTACAACTGCATAGGCATTGAAGCCAAAAAAAATCAGTTATGATCAATATTTCATCTGACTCATATAAATTAGCTTGTACAATTTCACTCAGTAATTCCTTCACCAAGCTTGTAATAACATACTGCTAAATAAAAGATTGTGATCTGATAGGTAGCATTTTCATTTATGCTAATAGTCCCAGTGATTTTAAAAGAGCTAATCACATCCACATTAGGGATGAAAAATAGCATGTGAAGCTCACACTGCATTGATACTGAAACTACTACTGTCTTGCATTCTGGATAAGTATTCTGTAAGGATTTGGGCCTGGAGGGAGATGATCTTGGATGCGAAGGCAGTTTTCTTTCCTTTATCCCCTTCTGCATCTGTCTTCTCAGTCTGCAGATGGTTGGACTTCTCTTGTGGTGAGAACCTCTCCCGGTACCTGGCTGGCAGGAGCACCAAAAGGCATGAGCCCTTTCTTGAACTATCCCACTTTTGCCCTGCAGAAGACAGAACTACCTAGTGTCAGCCCTTCAGGATGACTGTAGGTAACCCTCTGGGGATTGGCTTTGGTTTTTGGACAGAATGGTGTGAAATGGGGCATACGGCTTAGCCACAAGAGCCATCACTTGGACCTACATGGGGAATATACAGACCTTCATAATATGACTGTAGTATCCACTGCTAATATGCATACACTGGACAGTGGATCCGAGTCTTGTTTTGCAAGATCCCAGTGTTGAACAATCCTTCATGTTGAAGTTCCTTATAGCAGAGATCATGTTCAGGCTTCATTGTGCTTCACGCTGCATTTCACATTGTGTTTGTAAAGGCTAGGTACATGCATAGGTTTGCCATCAATGGCTATGATTGCACAAGCATGCAACAAGAGGTGTTAAGGATGCTCCAGAAAGTCATTTAAAATTCTGACAGGACTACATGGTAGCTACTGAATTCTCTGACTGATGGTACTTTGAGGACACTTCATTTAGCACTCCTAGAAATTTGACTTGAAGAATAAGTGATTCCCAAAGAACCCCTCAGAAACAGTTGAAAGTTAGAGGCCAGCATATTTGTTTTAGAAGACTGCTGACTGAGCCCTCCTATTGGTGAGTCTGATGAAGCTTTTTTTTTGTTCTCTTCAATTTAGCATCCTCCACTTTTTGCAAATGATTTACCACAGACTGGAGCCATATCATGGTGGGAGAGAAAAACATGGATTCCTATCAGCTGTCATCCTTCAGCTTCTGTGTCGTCTCTTTTGCAAAACTAACCCATAGAAAAAACAATATACTACTGAAGGCAGATATTCTTACTAGTGAAGTAAGTCTCCCAAAGAGAGGGGGCTCTAGTCCAATTTGTGCCAGAAATTAGAGCTAAGAAACTAGCAGCATCAAGAGCAACCCAGCTAGCAGCAGCCAAATGCTGTATCTCATGTACTAGCATAAACTTTAGTGACACAGCATGTGAACCTTTCAGAAGGCACAGAGAATATTGGGAGTGGAAAGCAAAGAAACTTTAGATGGAGGGAAATATCTTTCATATTTCGACAAGCTACAAAAATGCTTTTTCCAGACAGAGGTGTTTTATATTACGCCATTCCTGTTGGTTGTTTGAGGGGGTTTTCATTAGAAGTATGAACTACTTGCCACAGTAATAAAGGTCAGGCACTATTGTGCCTCTTTATGATACTGACTAGCACAAGTTGTGTATACAAACCCAGGAAATATTTATTTATGTAGAATACCTACTTAAATAGTGGACTACAAATCATTTAAAGATGCCTATGATATGAATCATGCCACAATTTCACGGATAAGTGGAAACATTATGCAACTTATTGAGTTTTTAAAGCACTAACGATTGTGAACTACATAGCAGACTTGAGCTGGACCTTTTCACCCCTTCTAATATATGCTGTGGCTATTTAATATTCCTCACTGGGGAGTAATGCTGGCATACAAGTCAGCAATATATTAGGCACTGGAGCCATGAACCTAGTGAGAACATAAACTAAACTGATTTTCAATTTTGGTACATTACAAAAAGGGCTATTATTGTGAGGTTAGAGATGTCAAAGTTGGTGACCTGGTATAATGAAGTATTCCTTGCTACATAGTCAAGCATGAAAAGTAATTGGAGGCGGTATAAACTTTTAGAGACTTAGGGTTTTTTCCCCCCCAAAAAATTAAATATTTTTTTACATACCCCCTTTTTAAAAAAAAAAAAAAAAAAAAAAAAATTGTGAAGCATCATAAAAGCGGAAGATATCTTTCTGTAAAATTTGCAGTTAACCGAGAAGTGTGTGTTTAAAAATGAGGTCACATCTTAACGCTTGGGTTACTTACATAATGCATTGATGAAAAGCAAGTTGCTACCTGCCAGCTAGGAATGACATTAAAATATTATGGCAGCATGTGACCAGCTTTAGAGCTTAAAATCTTGAAAGGACACAGACAATGTCTCCTTTGAAGAAAATTCCTGAAGATCACTTTACAGTTTTTGCTAGGCTTTAAAATGCAAGCTAAAATACCCCATGTCCAAGCAGCAGAGATGAAAGTTGTTATTTCTTAGCTTCAACGTTTACATCTGAAAAACAACTTCTAAAATGAGCAGAGATTTTCTGTAAGAAAAAAGGTGTTAACATTTATCCTAAGAAATTCTGTATTAATACAGTGAATCCCATCCTACAGGTGTTAGTAACAACTCCACATCCTGATTTACAACACTGGCTTTGACCAATCTATTCCTAATTTCCCCTGGTATAGATATTGTGTGAGCTGGCACAGCATCACTCCCAAACCACTAGACTGCAGAGGGCACTCCTATATAAGAAGGAATTGCAGTCTCCAGGCTCATTTACTTTTAGTCTCGATGATTCATTGTTATTTTTTCTTCTTTAATAATTAATGACACTATTATTACACTACAAGGAAAATATTATTATTATTGACAATTGGTTTTGTTATGATTATTTTATTTTTTCCTCCAAGTTTATGCAATTACAATGTCTGTCAGTGCTCATATCATTTTTGGGTCATCAGCCTCAGAAATTAAACATACAACAGAAGGAATACCTATTAATATACCATCCCCAGGCATAACTTGAGTAAAGCAGTGCAGACTACCTTTTCCATGTGCCTGGAAAGTCAGAAAAGTTCTGTCTGAGGCTGGCCATCCTTGAAGCAATCCTCTTCCTCTTGTCCTACTTCTAGAAATGTTTGTTGAAAGCATTACTTTGGTCTGGACTTCAGCTGTGATAGATTATTGCAAGAAAAGAAGCAGCTTCTCAAGCAATGGGGCCTGAGCTTTTTGGAGTGGATCTCTCCCCCCTGAAAAGTTTGCTTTTCAGGACCCGGGGCTGTATAGACAGGGTGTTCATATGTATGAACAAGATGTTCTCCTGTATGAACAGGAGAGCTATAGTTTGCCTGGTGCAGCAGAGGCACAGGGTGCAGAGCACGCGGCAGAGGCAATGTTATTAACTGGGGACTTTCTGAATAGTGGGCAGGTGGGATAAGGCTGCCATAATTTAGACTACTCTAGAACTGTTACATTAGGCCATTAAAACTTTGAGATGCCTCAAGATTTTAAAGAAACAAGTTTATGGCTACTGTGGTCCTAACCCACGTTCCCTCTATAAGTGAGAGGTAAAGTCTGTAGTGGCATCATCTGTCATCTCAGCCTTAGGGATGAACAGCTTAAAGCCAACAGAATTCATTCTGGAAATTCAGCTGGCAGCTGTGCAGGTCCTACACTACAGTTTAAATGTGCTTCCAATATTTAGTTTTTTGTGTTTTTGTTTTTTTGTTGTTTTTTTTTTTTTTTTTAATGAGAACAAGTCCATACTAGCTTTAGCTTCTGCATGGGACACAGCTCATGTATCATCCAACAGACAACAGATGGGTCATTCTGTTTCCTGTGGGTAGTGGAAAGTGATCTGCCTTTTCACACTTACTTCTGGAAGCTTGTGACATGGAAAGTGTAAGATCAAGCTAACGCTGCATGAAAGAGCTGACTAAGCAAGGACAGAGAGACATGGCTGGTGGAGTAGCAAATACACTTCCACAGCTGAGCCCTGATTCATGTTTATTTTCAAATTGAAGACCTCACATTTCAAGTGAGATATTTGCTCAGTAAAATACATGCATTTCGTATTTCATTACCACATGCTATATATCTAGTACAGTGGTTAAGAAATGAAGGAGTGTGGAAAGGGCTGTGATTCAGGGGAGCTGTAACCATAAAGATTCCACTGAATGGGATTTTCCCTTGTTCCAAACTGTTATCTCACTAGATAAAAACATTGCGCTTTATGATTAAGTTAATTGTGCTGGACAAGCCAGTCTGCAGTCCTAGAAGCCTGGATTTTCAAATGTGCTGAGCACTGGCAGCTGCAACCAAAGTCAGTGGGGGCATTTAAAGTGCAATTAAATGCAAAGTTCTCTAAAAATTCAGTCCAGAGGCTGGCTGTAAAATTGGAGCAGAGATGCTACCTTGCCTACAGGGGTGCTGTGAATGTTCATGGCAGACTGAGAAGTTACACTGAAAAGGCTCTGTAAAATGAAGCCTTTCATCTGAGCAGGGTTTGAACATTAAAATAAGGCCTTGAGCCTGAAGACTGAAGAGACAACAAACGTGTATGGGTTGCCCATTTGTAGACTGAATGAATCTATCTACCACATGGACTGAATTAGTGTTGTGCAAGCATATCTAATTCTAGCATTCCCTGACTCTCTTTTTTTTTTTTTTTAATATAGGTAATATGCATAGGCAATGTGTATTTGAGTAAGAAATCTTTATAAAAATCATAGAATAATTCAGCCTGAAAGAGATGCTGGTAGATCATACAGTTAAACTCCTGCTCAAAGCAGGGTAAATACTGAAGTCAGACCAAGTTTTTTGGGGGGCTTTTACCAATGGGTCTTGAAAGCTGAGGTAATATTCATAACGGTTTGAGGCAGCTGGTTCCATTGTTTAACTTTTGAAAAGGCCAGGTATCATTTGGACAGGTATCTTCATATTTAGATATTCAGCTAAGCATGTAGCTGAGGATATATTTAAACAGTGTAAAAATATAGGGTTGGGAAAACAGAAGGAGAAAAGTTGGTTTTAGTCTCAGTATACATGTGCTACAGAAAAAAAAAGAAAAAAAAAAAGGAGTAGGGAGGAGGGCGGGGGGGGAAGGGGGAGTTCTAAAATGTAAGTATTACCAACCTGGGTGCTTTTTCTTGTAATATATCAGTTGTATTTTGGAATTTGATTGCACTGCTAAGTCTGGTAAAATTAAATAAGACCTTATGCTTTTGATACACAGTCCAGAATGTCTAGAACTTAGAAACTGCTTTAATCTATTTTCTGAATATTCATTGTGGAATACCTAAAGTGGAAAATCACAGCCCAAGCACCTTGGTTTGGGTTTATCTGCTAAGTTACCCAAATGACACAAGGTTTTATTTAACAGCTGAAGCAAATCACCAGCATCAAGTAAACTCTAGAACAAATGTCTTAATAATGGATGAGGGGAGATCACTGACTTTCGCAAAGTTTTTGGCACCGTCTCCCATAACTTACTTTTAGACAGACTGACAAAGTACAGGCTAGGTAAATGGATAGTAGGGTGGAATGAAAACTGGCTGACCTGCTCTGCTGAAAACAGTTGGGACCAGTGGCATGAAGCCTAGCAAGTCACCAGTGGTATACCCAAGGGTTTAATACTAGGGCCAGTATTGTTTAACATCTTTATTAATGACCTGGTGATGGTACAGAGTTCACTCTCAGCAAGTTTTCTGGGAGGAGAAGACAACGTGGTTGTGCTGCCATTCAGAGACACCTTAAGAGGCAAGAGAAATGGGCTAATAGGAAGTTCAACAAAGAAATGTGCCAAATACACTTCCCTGGGGAGAGTAACCCCAGGCACCACCATGTGTTGGGGCATGAATGGCTGGACAGCAGCATGGCAAAGAAGGCCTCAGGAATTCTGGTGGACACCAATTTGACCACAAGCCACCAATATGCAAGTACAGCAAAGAAGGCCAAACAGCATCCTGGGCTGTATTAGGAAGAGCATGGCCAGAAGTTCGAGGGAGTTGATCCTTCCTTTCTACTCAACGCTGGTGGGACGTACCTGTAGTGCTGGGTTTTGTTCTGGCTTTCCCAGTACAGCAAAGACATAAACATATTGGAGTGAGTTCAACCAAGGACTATGAAGATGATTAAGGGACTAGTGCATCTGACATGTGAGGAGAGGCTGAGAGCTGGGACTGTTGAGCCTGGAAAAGAGAAGATGCAGGAGGGATCTCATCAATGTGTAAAAATACCCTAAGGGAGGGTGTAAAGAAGACAGAACCAGGCTCTTTTCAGTGGTACCAGTGAAAACTAAGAGTCAATAGGCACAAATACAGACAGAAACTTCCATTCTTCCATCTAAAAATAAAATAATTAAAAAAAAAAAAAAGTATTTTTACTATGAAACTAATCAAACACTGAAACAACTTGGGAAATCTCTGCCCCTGCAAATATTCAAAACAAAACTGGATATGGTCCACTGAAAGTGACAAGCTCTTGTTAACTGTTTTTGTCATGAAGTTGGACTAGACAAATTTCAGAGGTGTCTTCCAACCTCAACCATTCTGTGATAAGGTAGGCAATATTTTTGTCAAGATTCTTTTTTGTTCACTTTCCTTGCAATATTGGTAGGATAGATTAATCTCTATCCTGTTCTAGTTTGGGTTTTCTGCTATTTTCTCCTTTTAGAACTCAATCTTTTCCCTTTGTGGATGCTGCTGCCTAATTTTATAAGTTAATATAGTGTTCTGCTAGGCCTCCTAAACTGCTTCTTCTTCAGCAAGTGGATCTTCAGAGCAGCATCATTGAGTGTCCCACAGGGAAAATATATTAAACAAAACACAATGTGGAATGTAGCAGAAACTGAAATTGAAATACTCTCCCTAATCTCCCTACAGTAGAAATCAAATTTATTTCAATGTACTGTTTGAACTGAACAGGCTGAAGACTTGTAAAAGGCAAGAACTAATTTGCCCACAACTACATGTAAACGGAAGAAGTGACTATGAATGTGAGCTGACATATAACACTAAGGTTAAATTATTATATAAGAATAGAAATTTGTAATTTAAATCATTTCAAGGAGTGGTGCTAGGGAAATAAAAATACCAAAGCTGAATACCCATAATAATAATCATTAGAATTAGCAGTAAATATTGCCCTGCAGTGTGCTGTTACAGCTGAGACCATTTTGCAATGTCTAAGATGCTATGACATAGTGATTTATATGCTTGTCTACCTAAATCTTAGAGCAAAAGTATATTCTATTGTCTTGACACATTTCCTGTCTTTCACTGAATGGTTGTGACTGGTCTACTCTGAAAACAGAGTAGACCTATCTCTGGATAGGTTTTTCAAATAAGTATTTAACCACATAGTGGGTGACATGACATAAACTCAGCAGTGTACCTTGCCAGGATGATGGAAACACTTTTAAATAAAAATTCAAAAATCATGGAAATATAACAAGCTATTTAAATGATTAATACCTTGATTATTAGTAGGCTAGCAGGTAATTACAGGCTGATTCACAATGTTACGTTATTATAATAACTACCCATACTTGAATTTTGGGAACATTCAAAAATTGTTCAGCACAACTGTAAAAGACTTTTCAAAGTCTATAATACTTCACAGGCAAGTAGACTCAATACTGTGTCGGACTGCACATGTTAATTATGGGAGAACCCCGCACCATTTTTTTTCTGTACTTTCTGCTTTTTTCTTTCTAACAAACATTCCTTTGAAAACTACTTGTTCCCATTGGCCTTCAGTAATGTTTCTTGTTTTTTTTGTTGTACTGAGTAAAATAAGATTCACTGGTATTCATTTATATCATGAGACCATGTAATGAGTGGCATTAGATCATCTTTTTTGTTCATTCAAAATTCTAGGTAGAATTAATCTTCCAAACCTTAACTGCCCATTTCAGCAATGCCTCAAGCATTTATTTTGTGATAGTGATATTCAGGCTGATTTTCAGTCTCATTTTCTTGCATGTTTTGGGTTAGGCTGAAAGATACTGCATGGGGGAAAAACATCACTTAATTTCTTTTAAAATCTAGCCTCATTTTCTGTACTTGGTTTTACTCTACCTCTGTGTTTAGATATTTTTTGTTGTTCAGGGAGAAGGAGTATTATGCTCTTCCTTTGAAGAAATCTATCAATAACAGTTCTTCGAGATCTAATTTTTTCCAGTATCCTGAACTCTCATAAAGGCTGTTGCTTTTGGTTAAAGACTGTCACAAACAAACATTTGTAGGAAGAGAAGAGGTGTTTCTCCAACGCCGTTCTGTGTCATACATGACAACTAAAATCAAGAACAAAATAGTTAATTTAGAAACAGCAGTTAAAGGCTCAAAAAGTCAGTTCCCATCAAACATAAGCAATTTTTGTGCTCTGTTGAGATATTTATGAAATCCAGATAGAGAAATTAACATTTCTGAATTATCCTAGAACAAATGATGGGGAGTGGGATCATGCTGGGTTGTATAACATCCTCTTCTATAAAAATATTTTCCATTATATTTTGTGGAACATTTATAACCCAAAGGATTCATGTAAAAATCCAGAACATTATTGTAAAAATATAAAGGGAAATAACACAAAGCAGAATGATAATTGCTTACCATGATGTAGGGATTAAAATGTAGTCAATCTCTTTGCTTGCTTCTAACATTTTGCTGCAGTCATGGTAATACTATAGAGTTCATACAGTGAAGGCAAAATTGCATGCAACAATTCTCTCTTCTCCTAGCACTTTTTAAATCAAAGTGATTTATACTTGGGTTGTTAAACCAAAGAGAAAGCACATGAAGAATATATCTCTATCAAAAATTCCCATCTAGGTGTCGCTGGGGGACACACAGAGAAAAATATTTTCCTCAACATCATTTGTACTGCAAACACATTGCACACAATGGCTGAAACAAGGATATCTGGCACTGTGTAATCACATAATAAAAGGTAGTTATTGATCTGAATTTTGTGTTTAAAGTACATATATCAGACAGAAAAGAGAAAAAGGAGGAATACCAGAATGTGACTGGAAAGTGAGACAAGAGAGGCTAAGGGCCTGGCCCAATATTGCTTAGGAAGATGGCAGGAACTGCTTTCCCCAGCATCTCAGCCAGCACTTCAATAGCATTCTCTTGAGTAAAAGGAGAACTGGAAGATAAATAAAATGGGTAACTTTTTATCTTCCTTCAATGAAACATGTAAGTTGGTTTCAATTTGAAGTTCAGATGAAGGTTGAGTCTTGTCTTATTTTATCTAAATGAGTTCATCTGTCTCATATCATGGCTTTACTTTATTATGCACTTCAGCCTTCTGGTCTTTTTCATGCTAGGTAGTAAATACTGTCTCTTTTCAACAGTTGAAATGTCAGGACATGATCATTCTGAATGTCCAAGATGAAATCTCTGAAATGCTGCATTTCTTTTTCTGTGATCTCTGTAAAGAAGCCAAACATGATTTCCTTGTTTATAGGGTTAGAGGACTGGAAGTGACCTCTGGGGTCACTGAGTCCAGTGCAGTGAATTCAGCCCAGTGCACACATCTTATAATCTTTTTCACATGCTCACAGACTGGTTTTGTGGGTTTATTTTTGGTAGTTTGAACACTTCCCTGCAACAGACACTAGACTAGGAAACAAGATTTTGCTTTTTGGTGGAAAGTAAGGCCTAAGAGCCCTCAAGCAGAAAAGACCTTACAGAATCAGTCATATTTCATGAAGGTGACCTGAGGAGGGGTTCTGCCTGGCATGTCAGTAGGTACAACACAGTCCTGATGTCACCACTATTACCCATCTCAGTGATGGTGCCCACCTTAGCTTTCTGCATCTCAGTTTCCCCATCAGTACCTAGGGAACAATAACTGTGAAGTGGCATCAGATCTGCTGGTGAAGAGCTTTAAATTGTATTTTTACAATTTAAAAATTCTGTCTGAAGTAGGCCAGAGCAATCCATGCAGCTTCAGCTCCTGTTACATGTGATAAATTTACCTTAATTTTAAAATAATCATGATCTTGTCTTACCTTTTTATGATCAGCAGTTTAAGTTGGAAAGGTCGCTCCTTTCTCTGGTAGTTCAAGTTTGGTGTAAACTCAAATAGTTTAAAGATATATCATGTCACAGCATGCCAGATACTGCATTCCTTCACACTATTGAAATCATTGTTTCTTTCTGTTAGGAAGCATAATTTTTTCACAGATCCACTCAGGTTTACTTTCCCTGGAAAAAAAAAAAAAAAAAACGGGAGCCTTTATATTACAAACATTTCCTCATTCAGAGCCATTCAGACGCCTACCAGATCAAGTTTTAGGCAAACAGGATTTTTACCAAGGATTTATCACTCATTAATTTTGATCTAGAGATTCTCTTTTTTTCTAAGAACTATTTTTCAATGTCAGGCTTTTTTTGGACACAATCAGGCTTTTTTGAACATAATGGAATAATGACATAACCTTCATTGTAACATCTCAAATGCAACAATATAATACATTTGCTTAAGTCTGGGAGAAGGAAACCAAACCAATTTATTATAGCCTGTTGATTCACACTCACATGCTGTGCAGTTCGTGTGAAGGCCCCATTTACTTTTTCACATGAACTGCCACAGCATGGTTTAAATAGAGATTTCTCTAGCAGTGGTGTTAAGGCTCCTCATTAACATCATTTCTGGAGTCACTGGGCCAAGTATATCCCTAGTGCAATTCCACTGATCTCAGTGGGGTTATCCTTGAGATATATTTGGTCCATTGTTTCTACAGAATCTCTTTGTTCTTTTTTGATCTCTTTAAGAATTTTGTTACTTTGAACATTTCTCACATAGCAAGTCATCGCATTAAAAAGTTCACAACACTTATAAGTAATTTCTCCGGTATTTCTACATGTTTATACTATGCGATATGTGATTATATCCAATTGTTGCTTGCTTTTTTTTTAATAATCTGCACATATACCCCATTTTTCCAGGAAAATCAATAAACGTACTATGAGTTTCTCTTCTTGTTAGTTTTTTATATAATTTCAAAACTTGATATAGCTACAAAAATCTGAGACAGACTGCAGGTGCATTTGGTATTATCGTCTGCCCAGCAATCTCTTGCAATTTTGGGGGGAAAATAAATAAATAAATAAATAAATAAATAAATAAATAATAGAACAGTAAAACTCACAGGCCTAATGTATTCTCACCTGAAGAAAAAAAAAATAAAATAAAAGTGTTCTGATGCTTTGTGTCAGTATTAAATGTTTATATTCATGGTCTTTTTCCTTGTTTGTTTTTTTTTCTTTTAATTCTGGAAAAAAATATGCACAACTTCAAAATAAAAATAAAATCACAAAATTCTGCATGTGTTAGATGTGTAGTTAATGACCATTCTCTACATTATGCATATAAATGTGATTTACATGATTTAGATTTTTGCTCAGAAGAGTGAAGAGTCTTATGAGGGAAGATCACATAACAAAGTAAAGTGGTCCGTAGCATAAGTCGTGGGTAAATGGAAAATACATCTCATTCTCAAAACACCATCTCGTATTCCTTTCTGTATATTACTGCAGGTTTGCACAGGCGTTGGTGGCCACATTAATCTATATTAATTTTTCCAGGAAATTATTAACTCAGCACATGAACCTCTTTATTTGACTTTGCATCCAAAGAATCTGTCTCTGTCTCTGTCAATTAAATCTCATTTTCACTAAATCCATAATCAGCAGAGGAAAATGGCTTGGACCAGGATCCATGGTTCCCTGAGCTCATACTTATCTTCCTGTCAAGATCTTTTTGTTCTCCAAACTCTTAAAATAATTAAGTCCTAACGTGAGATTGCATTTTTCAGGGAACAGCCTACAGGCTCCAGAGGAATTAAACCCCTGCATGTTAACTGCTGCTTGAAGAAGAATCATTTGGGTCTGTTGATAACAAATGAGGATGTGCTAGCATGGAAAGTTCTGCTGCCCGAATGACTTTTGCTTTACACACAGACGTGTTCAGCAAAGTGCTACAAGAGAAGTGCACCTGTGAGTTGCATTACTATTCAGATACACGACTGTAATATTTGTGTAAATCTTCCAGTCCATTTCAGTATGTTATTAACATTCAGGGCAGAATGATACTGCCTCTAAATAAAGATGTAAAAAACTCATTTAAAACTACTCAGTAGCAAAGCTTGTGTTCAAACTGCACACACAGTATTGGTTTATGTTTATAGTGATTTATGTTTTAGACAGAATGGAAAAATGTAATTTAGTTTAATTTAACATCTCTCAGAATCCTAAAGACTGCTTTCAGATGAATTAGGTGCTGGTAAGTATAGTGACTATGTAGGCAAACATTAACAGCCAAGCTTCAGTCAGGAACAGCCCTGCATGTTATATTATGTGTTAAGAAAGACGATGTTAGTTACAAACCTGAAGTTCTCCCTGTGCTCTTTTCAAAAGTGCAATGTGATCATTTATCTACAGAGCACTAGAGCTCAGATAAAGTGCTGAAGGCCTCATCTGAAAGCTGGTGCTTTCAGGCAACACCTGGTACATCACTGAAATGTTTGCATTATACTGCTCCAATCTCAGCATGTTATTCATGTCTTCCAGGTCCACAGATCATTGAGACCAAGTAGAAACCTATTGAGCCATGTTTTAATTTTGATCTTTATACACAGAGTGATCCATGAACAATACAAAGTTCAAAACCAAGGCATTAACCTGTAGTTCTATATTTCTTGATTAGCTCCTAGAATTTCCCTATATAAGCATCACAGATTTCAAAGATTTTCGTGAAATCTTGATTTTGTGTCATGTAACATCTGGTCTTGTGCAACACAATAGAGCCTCCTGAAGCAAGAATACAAGAAATGGGACATACAGCTTCTGCTCTGTGGTTAGAGACGCTCTGCTGAGCATACCATCATTGGGATGCACATCTTGCAAAATACTGCACAGACCCAGAGAGTCAGGGTGCCATTTTTACGTGGTCAGAGTGCTCTTGGGGACTAACAGCATCTCTTCCCCACCTCAAACCTCAGGGCAACTAAGTACTCATTGCAAACTAAGAGCACCTGGCACCTTTCAGAAATGAACAAACAAAAACTTTGCATGCATGTCCTGGAGTAACACTTCCACCTAGCATATATTCTTGGAGCATCATGGCTAGGTCTTCATTGTGCTCCTAAGGTACCTCCTCCAGAGGGTGGTGCAGATGGGACCTCTTCATTGGTGCCCTCACTGCAAGCCTTCAAAGAACTCCTGAGGACTGTGGGGCCATCACAACGTCACCATCCTTTGGTGCAAGTGGGGAAGGGTATCTTGAATGGCTTTTCACCATTTGTGGTAATGATTTTTGTTGATACCCAAGATCTGCATTGCAAGAGAAAAAACAACTTTTAGCTCCAGGATGATACTATGAGAGAGCTTAAATGCAAACAACTTTCTCATACTGGAAGAATAAAAAAATATTATAATATTTTTTCCTACTCTTTTTTTAGCTCAGGGGCCTCTCCTTACAGTAAAGTCTCACACACATCAGCATTACAAAGAAAGGAAAAAACAAGAGCTTAGGCTTTCAAAGTGCATAGTCCAGCTCTGAACTGTGTTGTAACAAACCCACTCAGGGCACTGGTAAAATCTGCTCTCTGGCTAAATAAAATAAGATGAAAGGAAAGATACCACATAAACTTTTGTGTTTAATTCTTTTTGCAGAAATTTGATGTGCAGAATCATGCATGACCATTTTAATAATGCTGGATCCACTGTCAACTGAAGGACACTTGGATGAAGTACTGGAAATTATTTTAGTTTTTTTCAGCAAGAATCACTAACAGTGATGAGTAACTTCCTGGCTATTAAGTGCATCAGGCAACGGACATTGTTCCTCAACCTGATAAACTCCTAGCAGGGAACTTCCCTTCCCTGTGGTTGCTGTTCTGCCCTGGGCTTTTGTCTCTTCAGATCAGGCAGCTCTGTATAATCTAGACAGTCAAACATTGAGCAATCAGTACCACCATGGCTGTGTTTTTAATGAGAAAAGCAGTTAAATAAATGGAATGTCATTAAGACACACGACTGTTTTGGAGATGATGCCAGCAGTATAACAGAAAGTTACATTAATATATTACTTGCTATACATTTATTTTTAATGCATATGAAATTATAGAAACAAACCACTTTAACTAGCTGAAGAAATTGAGACTCTTTGCACACACTATTTCAAATCCCAGAAGTATTTCAGCCTCTTGGAGTTGTCTCTTGAACTGTCAAAGAGGGATCTGGACAGTCTCTCAGCGTCTCTGACTATTAAATCCTTAAGTGACGTATCTATATGCTTAAGAAACAGGGTCAGCAGACAGAAATGTACCAATGTTAAAAAAAAAACTAGGATGGAACAGATTGGTTTTTAGAATATTGCCATGAAACCCTTTGCCCTCGGCTGACTGAGTTTGTTCCAAGATTCAATGTTCACTTTAACATCACATGAAACAAAGTGGTGTGGGCAAATATTCCTGTCATGTGCTTCAGCTGTGTTTTTTTCATGGTGCCTTATTCTGAAACTGTTTTGCTCAACACATTCAAAACTCACTCCCATTTGCTGTACCATTTCTGCTGCAGCAGTCAAGATCTAAAGACACTTTAACCAAATAAGAAGCAAGGGGAAATGTTAAAGCCTTGCTAACAAAGACAGTACTTCTTTTGCTGTGTTTTTCTTGTCTTGTGCTTGCAGTTACATTTTCCCATTTAGAAAGGATAAATAATATCTGTGTCTCGTGTCAGTCACACTGTAATTAATAAACCAGACAAACTTTTGAATTTCTAGCTGTTATTCCACCTAAGAAATACTGCCTGCTTCCCCAGGTGAAATGAAGGTTATCCCCTTTTCTTGAAATCATCCTTTAGCTGCCAGCAGTTCACAAGACCCCACTTCTGCAAAGGACTGACCACCCACTACCAGACAGAGAACCACTGAAGAAATGGTAAAGAAGAAAACGGAGGTTTTGGCTTTTAGTAGAGGTCTCAGACCTGTTTTTTTTTTAGAATTTTATTTGTTTCTCTATTCCGAAGATAGATAGAAATTAATTAGGTTCCACAGTTTTCACAGTATAACCAGTTAAATATTATTTAGTTGTCTTTCTTACCAATGTGGATAAATGTTTTTTAAAAGGGTAATGCAGACAATGGGACAGAATCTGTTGAGTCATCACTTTTGTTCTCAGTCAAAGTTCTGTATTTCTCAGCTTTTCGGCATCCTAGATATATCCCCCATGGCGACCACAGTGGTGATACCATTATTGCTGGTTTCACCCAAGAAATCTAGTGCTTTTCTTTAAGGGGGAACTGAAACTCAAACAAAAACTTCCCAGATATCCAAGGACAACTCAAATGGTTGAAGCTGTTTGCTTGTTTGTGCAGCTGCAAGGAAGACACACTTCAGGGAAAGACAATCAAAATTATAATACGACAGGTAATTTATCACTGTATTGTAAGTAAATGCAACATCATAACGTGCAAGCAATACTGTAAATTAGATAGTACTGGTTAAAAGAGACTGGCTTATTATTTTCAGCATAGATAGCTAAAGTTTCCCAGGCATCTGATTCCCATGAGGTGCCAAATGAAGCAAGGTGTTAATTCGATCTCATATCCTCTCTGTTTTTCCAGGAAGTTCAAAATAGCTCTGCAGGGGTGTTTCAGACAGGCACAATTTTTATAGTTTGCAAGTGCATAGGTTCCTTTTGCCTTATCCATAACAACAATTGCTAAAGGAAGAGAGTTGTTTAGATTTCTTGTAGCCAACATATCTTTTGGAATATGGTTAGGATATCTAGCACTGAATAATTTTGCATATTGTGATATCTACCACTGAAATAAGAGTGTTAATATTAGGAGTGGCAGCCACCACAATGTAGCCTAATATATTTTTAAAAAACGATGAAAGATAATCCACCAACTTGCAAACTTACAGAACTGTGGGGATAAAAAAACATTAAAACTATCTTTAATTGTTTCTTGTTTTACACCCATTGAAGGAACAATTTATGCCCTGTCTTTGGAGAAAATAAATAAATAATTGTAGTATTGCTAGAAAAAGTCCATCAGAATTCTTTGTCTGTGGGAAAAAATCTTGCAGAAGATGGTACTTTTGACAGTTCTTCACCAATTGGGAAACCCCAGGAAAGAACATACAAAGAATGTTAAAGCATTTTCTTCACGTTAAATTTAAATTGCATCAAATAGTGTGATTGACGTTCATTGAAAGGGAGAAGGATTAAGTACAGCTGACCTTCAAACTATGTATCCAACTTTAGACCATACATGGCACTGCGGAAGGTATCTCACAGCTTCCATTGGTACACATACCTTGCTAAAGGCAAAAGCCACAGATGGTTACAGTTGGTGGTGGGTTTTCTTATCGTATTCTTTTCTTGAATGGGAATTTGGTTAAGAGATTGAAAATTAATCAGTTAGAGGTGATACCCACCAATGGGATTTACAGGTATACTGATTCACCAGTCTTCAGTTAGGTGCCAAGGCTGTATGGGGAGAGTCTGGCATATAAAAATAGGCATTGCAAAGGCTGACATAGTGCCTGGATAGTCACTAAAGCCAGGTAACAGGAAATGTTGAGCACAAAATTCCAGATTTCCCTGGAGTTGCATTGTATTTATACCCCTCACCTGGCTTGGAGTGGCACATAAGGAGGAATACCAAGCAAATAAGTGTGTGAATGAGATTTTAAAGTAAGATTTACTTGGAAGGAGAATGCTAGGGGTCTATACCCTGTTTGGCTTAACATAAGTAGAGAACTTAATCAGAGCAGTCTGAAATATTCATCTCTCCCCTTCCAGGCAAATTCCCTAACCTCAAGGCCAATGGTTTAACAAGAATTTAATTACTCTATTCAAAATGAAACAGTTTCCACAGAAATATTCAGAGGCTCCTCTCATCCCAGAATTCCCCAAGGCATCCTCCAGAAATATTTGGAGAAAGATTTTTTAAGCCAGAATTCTGTTGGACAAAGGGAGGAAAAGAAAACAGGTTTTTTAAGTCCCAAGGGAATGATATGACTGCTGAGGTGTTGGGTAAAAGCATGAAACCAAGAACAAAAGCCAGTAGGCAAAGAACAGTTGAAAACTCCATGAATCTTCAGTTCTAAATTTTTTATGGAATGCATGGCAGACTGAAATATGGGGACCACAGTCCCAAAGGCTCCTCTGAGACTCATTGTGGAATAAAATTTTGAATAGAGATTGTTTTAGCTCTATTTTTTTCCCTTTTCTGCTTGGTTTTTAGTGTTTTCAAACTATTTTTGCTTGTTGCTCTTTGTTGTTGAACTCTCAGCCATCACTTGGTTTTCTTCTCAAAACTTTGTGTTATTGCAGATGACCAGTACCAGATCCCTGGCGGGGATTTGTCTTAACTGCATTTTAAAAACTTCTCCTCAAAGAACCTTCACAACCTGCCCAAGAGCTTGCCAGAGTGACAGAGAAACTAGAAAATACAAACTCTTAGAGGAGTCTAATTTCCAGAAGACACATGCTCAAGCCTCCATAAAAGATCAGAAACTTCTTTTCAGGTCTCCCTCAACTGGCCAGTGGCTTTACAGAACCATTAGTTTCCAAAATCACATCTATAAATGAAGTCTCTACATCAAATAACTTGCTATTAAGTTAAACTGTGTATACTACAGATGGAAAAAGATCCTCGTATGACCAACAAGGCACAAGCAAGTGGACTGAGTTTTGGAGTTAGCAACCAGTTTATCATTACTCTGATTTCTCTCTACAATTCCTGGCTCTTGCTGTGGCTTGATTGCAGAGGTCGGGCAAGTTCCTTCACTCTGGCCTTTTCTGACTCTTAACTGTTCTTTTGTGGTTTGATGGGAGTGTCACAAAAGTATATTTTGAGGAAGAGGCCAAAGAAAAATTCTCAACAAAATGGAAACGCATTAAAATACTGAGACCTGAGGGGAAGTAAGACACAGGGCACTTTTTTCACTGGGTGCTGAAGAAGCATAATGAAAACAATGGATCAGTAATTTTCACATGGCCTCTGATGTCATGGTAATTGTGTCACTATTGCTAACCATTGTTCAACCTTACCACCAGCTATTCTCTGACAGCAGAGAAGGCCGCAGCACACCAGGGCAGGGGAAGGTTAGAAGATGTACACAGAGTTCCCTCTAGTCCAGCATGGATGCATGTCCTGGCCACAGAGGACAGGGAAGTACCACAAGAATCAGTTAACCACTCATTTTTGGTGAAAACAAGAATTTCTGGGACCATGATGTTCTCCTGGGACTGGAAAGCAGCAGCAGATCCAGGATTATGAATAGAGAAAATGGACAGAGAAACAGCTGCTTTATAAATGTAATGAATGTAAAATCAGTAACTTACACAAAGTAACTTGGCAAAAAGGAAGCCTGGACAAAGCTGGAAAGTGACCAAGACATGTCACAAATCACAGGAGCGTGAAAAGAGAGAAGCAATCCCGCAGGCTGCAGTGAGTTCTACCAAGCCCTACATCAAATAAAAGATCTGTATCTAATGCTGAAGTTGAAAAGATGTCTGCAAATGGATTTCTAGAGTAGCTGGGCAAGATTTGAATAATGAACAAGGGGAAGATCATTGAGTATCATTTTAGGTGTCCAAGTGGTCCCTCTGTTGTTAAGCACATTCTCACACTTCTGTGTCACAATGCAAGGGTCTAGTGTTTTTACATGAGCCTTTTTCACCCTGGGTAGTTTTTTTTTTTTTCAGAGCTCAAAAATATCAGGCAAGTTGCGTCATGTATTGTTGTTTCTCTTATAGCCATTGAAGCAAGGTCCTGTAAATGGGTACCAAGCCAAAGTTTCAGTAGCTTTACAATTTATTTTTTTAACATTGTTATGTGGCATCTTCTTGTAAATGTAAAGTGCTACAGATTGTTGTCCAGCTGGAAAGTCACTCTTCTCAGCCAAAATAAAATAGTTAAGTTACTCAGTGGTAGCAGGAATGAGTGTCTGTGAATTTAACGGGCTGGTGACTGCGGCATCTTGCCAGGTGCAAACAGCTTGTGAAATAAGAACATTATCTGTAGGAAGTATAATGTAAATTCTTTACTGTTGCTTACGGCCTTTTTTTTTTTTTAAAGGCAAAAAGTTGCTAACACTGAGCTTTGTTGCTACTCTGCAGTTTCAAGTTATAACTACTGCCTCTTTCATGGTATTAGAAGATTGGATAAATAAAAAAATATATGTTTCTGTAATGTTTATTTCAATGCAGATACTAAATTTGGAGGAGGTGAGTCAAATGGAGTTTATTTCTAATAGTGTAAATGTTTCTTTTCCCAAGGTCTGAGGTAGCTGAAAAGGGTCTAAGAAGTTTAAATTATTAACACTGTTAAATATCATCAAGTTCCTAATATTCAAAAACACATTTACCAGATAGAGAAGAATGCTGGAAAAAGGAAAACAACAATTTTCCTGACTACTCTATAAAAATTGAAGCAGAAAAGCCACTTTGGGTTGCCTTAACAATTGTAGGAATCAAATAGTCTGGAAAATTTAATTTCATGTCTAACAAAGTTAGACAAAAAGTTCCTATAATACAAAATGTTAAATCTTCGAATACTGTTTTTGTGGAGTTTTTTTGTTAAATGAAATGAAAATTTGTTAAAGCATTTTTAAAACGTTAAAACATGGAACACACACATCTCATGGTGTGTTCCAGTTCACCAGCTTCACATTTTTTCTCAGAAAAAAGAAAATCACCTAAAAATGTTTGGATCTACTGAAGGATACAGTCTGTCAAATACAGCAGAGCACTTGATCATATATTAAATTTGAAACATGTGAGAAGGCCTACTGATTTCATTAGGAGTTACAATTAATCAGGAATAATTCTTAAAGCTACTGCTTCATACAAAACTAAACTTGTTAGTGAATACACATTTCAGACTCATGAATTCTATTTTCCTTCATAAATAGATCTAATTTCTTTGCTACACCCATAAGGATCTCTTTTCTTTGGGAAAAATAAAAAAATAATAAAAAATAAAAAGTGATTTTAAAACAGAACATTTTTAAAAAATACAACAACAACAACAATAACAACAAACAAAGAAGAAAAAGGTGGTTCTGTTAAACAAAGATCTCAAACTTGCAGTCCAAGAATCTGGCATTGCAAGTAACTTGAAAGTAATTTTTCTTGGGTGAGCTCAAATAAAAAATTCCATGTGGGTTCTCAGAGGATGTTTTATTTGTTTTATTTGAAGCCTTTTTTATTTTGAGATTATTTTTTTCCCTTAGTAAACTGTGTAAACGACTCTGTCTTGAAATGTGTTTTTCAAAATAGCGCAGTTAAATGCAGCCAGTAAGTTCTCTTCTTGGTTCTTCACATCTTTCCTACTAGTGACAAGCAGCAGTTCCTTGGGTGTACAAAATACAAATAAAGTCTGTTGCAATCTTTCTTGAGCAACACGAACTGTACTTAGACAGGCACTGAATATACTGACAGGAATAAAATTAAGTATATATATATATTAATAATAGCAATCATTCAACAGAAGCTTAAATCTTGATCCAGCTGCCCAGAGACTAGAAAATATAATTGTTTATGCAGTAAAATTAGTAACTTCAAATATTTCATGGCTAAAAAAAGGAACAAGAAGAAATGCATATATAAAGGCACTCTTTTTTGTCATTGTTCAGCTTCATCTGCTTCTGACCCCCCATGGCATAACATTATATTCCAGGAAAACAGCTGTTTTCACTCTTTCCACTTGCTCTGATATTCCCATTCTTCTGATATTTTGTTTCCACTGATGCAAGAAAGAAAGAAAAAAAAAAAAAAAAGGAAAATAAAGAGGAAAAAAAAAAATACATCTAAAATTACATAGGCAAGGAGCTAACAATTAAACAAGAAATGCACAGCTTTTGTTGCCCCATATCAGAACCTTACTTTCAGGCTGCAGGGTTCATTAGAGGTAAAAGCAAAGATTCTTGCACCCTTCTTGGAATACTTAGAGGAAAATAGGTGGTGTGGCATGTGCTCTGCAAATTCCCCAGATTCACCATACACTACTTATACTATCAGGCAGGCTGTACCTCCTCTTAGAGTCTCACTCCAGCCTTTCCCTTAGAATTGTAATGAGTATGAAAAGGAAGGAGTCATTTTGGCTCTTCTTTTCGTTCCGCTACATCGTGGCCCACTGACCTTACTTGTTTTTGGGAAGGAGTGGCTACTGCCACTTTGAGACTAGTTGCCCTTTCTTTTAATTATAACACAAATAGCATAACCCTGATTTCACTTTTAGACAGACAGATGGCAAATGTCCATTGCCAGTCTCAAAGAATAAAAAATAAGTAAATAAACACTTGAATCAATTTCTTTAACTATATATATATCTCCTAAAGGAAGGGACTGGCTATAAAATTTAAGAATCTCAAAAATAAAGATGTGGAAAGTATTTATCTGCCTTCTGTATTCTGCAGTTTAGAGGAGCTCCACTTTTTTAATTTTTTTTTCCAAATTTTTAATTTTTTTTTTTTCCTGAAATCACAGAAGCTAGAAATTTCCTTCGCTATTTTAAGAGAAATTGAGATCTTGAGGATTATCTGCTAAAAACACTGTCATGAGACTCAGGTGAAGTAGAACCAAAATCACATGGATGATAAGTAACCCTTCCTCAGACAAGTGGAAATTCCCAGGAGCCCTGATAGAGGACAGGCAGAAGAGTCAGCATGAGCTGTGGTTTGACTGGGGAACTTGGATACTACTGATACATGTATGTCCTGTACTTAGTCCATCAGAAGCCTGCTCAGGAATTTGTAGCTTTAAGAACTTAATAAAACATATAACCTAACAAAAAGGGAATAAATTTATGGGAGAAGGATAGAACAAGAAAGCTCTACATCTGCTCTCAGGGAGAATCCTATTCCCAGACAGATTACTAAAACTTGCTAAACTAGGATGTTCACTTGTAGTTTAGTTTAGTGGTGGACTCGAGGAGCAGAAAGATCAAAGTAGCCTCTCTGAAGATGGTTGGCCTTCTACAGCCTGTGCTGACGTGGCACAAGGGAATAAGGTTGTTCATACTAAAGCAGTCTCCTTGGATGGAGACATTTTAGTATAGGAAATTTCCTCTGTGGACAGGGACATATGTCCTTGTGTACACACAAGCTGCAGGGCAAATATACATCCTTCCCCCGTGGGACTGGTTGTTCTGAAATAAGGCAGCACGATATTTGCATGATTGTATGTGTGTAATTATTACAGCTGAAACAGAAAATTAAATCAATCCCCCATGTTAAAGTTACACAGACAAAGCCATTTGAGTGGCCTTACTCAAAGGAAGCAGGGCTGACAACATTTTAGAAAACTGAAATCTTTTATTTGTAGTTTTTTTCTTGGATTGATTTTTGTTTTGGAACTTCTCTAAACACTATTTAACTTCAAAAATATTCTGACCAAGCTCTACCATATGACATGTTATAAACACAGAATCTACAAGAGCTGCTTTCATTCTTTTCTAAAAGTCAGGCACTTTTATTTGGTGAGGCAGGCTTACAGATGTTTCAGTGGATCTAACGCTAGGAAAAAAAAAAAAAAAGGATTTCACAATGTAAGCCATGGTAAGACCTCAATACCTCAATAGGCTTTCTGTAGGCGCCATTAATACATAAAGCCTTGAGTTCTCACATGGCACTGAGGTTCTACTGTGCTAACATAAAGTAAACTCTGGTTTATAAACTGTACAGAACAGTGAGCCGAATCAGTGGGTGTCGTCAGTGAGCCAAATCAGTGGGTGTCATCTGAGGGTGTAAAAAAAAAAGAAAGAAAAAAAAAGTATGAAACAGTAACTAATCACAGAATCACAGAGCAGAATTAAAACAGGGATCTATTTTCCATAAAGCCCCCAAGGAGTTTTTACAGACTCAGTATGAGCTTTGTTGTGGATAGCAAACATTAGTGTGTCCTCATTCTAATCCCATTCATGACTACAGTAAATGGGGCCCCATGTCAAAAATCCTCCATATATAGCCTCTTCTGTCCCTGCAGATGTGGGCTTGTTCCCTTCTGAGCTGCTGTCACCCTCTTAACCTTCTCATTGTGCAGCAGGAACAGAAACCCAACTGTCTTTGCTGGTGTGTCCTAAAGTACAATCATGTCACCTGCAGAAGTTGAGGATTGAGTGGGTAAAAGTCACTGAGCAACCTTTACCCTTGAAAGGCTTTTCTCACCTGAGGACTTGTGCTGGCTACCTGGCATATTTTTCCTGTGTGGCATGCATGGGAGCCCTGTAAGCCCAGTCAGCAGTCTCCCCAAGCTACAGAACAGAGATAAATAGCTGCAGAGCATCCTCTGCCTTTACGTGAACCAGAGATTTACAGAGCCAAGTTTCTGAAAACAATAAGCCACATGGAAAACCTTACTTTTCTGTTCTTTGTGAAATATTTCCATAGTTAGTGTCTATCAATCATACATTAGCTCTATTCAGAGCTTAAAGAGGGTGACCAGGTAAGAGGTTTTATATTGTTCAGTTTTGTGGTATTATAAAGTTTTCATCATGAATCCACAGTGACTCTGCTTGTATTTTTAGAGAGGTTTAAAAATTATTTCAGAGTACTGTTTTCTTTGTTCTTTATTCCTATCACTCAGGAAGCTTCTAAGGTAAAGCCGTTTTGATCCTAACCCCTCTCTCAGACCATTTGGGCTATGGTCACCATACCTTACTGTTTTACACATTCTACACCCTTCCCTTTTGAGGGGAATGTAGGGTAATAATGTGTTCCATTGGCCAGTTCCTCAGTAACTCCTATAGTCGCAGGTCTGTAATTAAAAGTAGAATAACATCTTAGGAGTTAGGATTTCTGAGTGCTGCTGATTTCTCAAAAATCAGTCACATTAGGATGTTACACCAGACACTTTTAGATACAAAACTACTTCCAAATTCTGAACACCGAACTCTGCTCATGAAAAAAAAAAAAAAAAAAAAAAAA